GTTGATTATTACTCACTAGAGTTTGAAGAAGAATTGGAAACTGTTTCTTTTACCTTTATTCAAAATGTGAGTGTCAGTGGTTATGTTCTTTGCAAGATTTGTATTAAAAACACCATTTGTTATTATGTAGGCATAGTGCAGAAAGAAATAGACACAATTTTTGATGTAAAGGTCAGCTTCCTGAAATGCCAGAATAAAAAAACTTCTAAATTTGTCAAACCTAGAATTAATGACATTCGTAGTGTGAATATTATTTATATAAAAGCAGTCCTGCCTCAACCCTTGCTGGAACAACATTGAGAACAAAAACTGAAATCGTTTTCCAAGTGAACTTTGGCATCTTAAATCTAACGTAACTTTTTTCTTTTTTAACAAAGAAATTTTAATTCTTAAAATGTAATCTTAATCTCATCGAAAAAGGCATTGATAATTTGATTTTTTTTCCTATTATTTACCTTTCCAAGAGGGCAACTTCAGGCGAGCAGGCTGCTCATTTTTTTGCATTTTCAAATATTTTTATATTGTGGTTACAATCCTCTCTTAAACCTTTTAACTCAGAAACACGAACCTTTACAAACAAAGTCCACTTCGCGGAGTAACTAAGTTGAGCGTGGTAATTCCAGGGACGTGGTGGGACTCGAACTCTAAACTTCTCGCAAACAAGCCAAGCGCTCTACCACTACATCACTGCCACGTTTTATTTAAACTTAACTTTAAGACCAAATTAATATTTAACTAGATTTGGAGTTGTTTTTATATAGTTCTACATCTCCTCTAAATGTTCCACTTCTTCTGCACAGTCGTCCCACTTCTCCCGCACACTCGTCCCGCTTCTCCCACACTTGTTCCACTTTACCCCAATAACAGGGTTCTTCTAAAACTAAAAAATAAATACTTTATGAAAACATTCTGTCAATCTTAGGGGGTGGATTCAATGCCCCAAATACTGCCTTATTTTTTAAGACTTTTTAAGTTTGGATCAGATCATACATCAAATAAAAAAGGTATTGCAATTACCCTGAAAAAAAAATTGGTGTCCCATTTCTCCCCACTCTCCCCTGCCAATCACGGTTGTTTAATCTTGATACCTATCGGACATTTATAGTGCGCATGCGTTTCCGGAGATTTTCTGTTTTCCCCATATTGGGTCGGATTTTATTAAGGGTATATATTCATATAATTGAGTGTTCTTTTCACGATAAAGTTGGGTTTAAAAAATATTGACTTTTAAAAGCTCTTTCAATCTATAATTATGTACAAACTTAAAAATTTTATTTATTTATTTGAGACATCTTGAACAAAAAGGACTGAGCAAAATAGAATGAAAATATTTATATATAGACTTTATAAAAACCATAATATATTATACTAGTATACTAGTATAAACAAAAAAATTTTAATAAATTTTTATTTTTAACAGCAGTATAAACTTTTTTTATTAAACAAATACAAAGTTTCATTTATAACATTCCATTTAACTTAGAGATTGTCTAGAATTTTATTAAAATTTATTATGCAAACTTCACTGACTCGGCTTAAAGGATAATGAATAAATCAATAATATATATTTTTTTAATTTTCTGTTCTTATATAGCAAATTCATTTGTACCAAATGTTATTTAGTGCAAATGAATATGTTATATTATATCTTTTAAAAATCTTTATAAATGATCAATCGGGTAGAGTGACAAAAAATTTTTTCAGGAATACAACTATTCTCCCTGATTTCTATATTATTTATAAAAAAAAATAAGTTAAAGAAAAGCAAAATTGGGTAAAAATTACCCTTGCAGCAATATTTAGCTAGAATTACTTAATATTGTTAGCAATTAAAAAAGTTGAATATTAAGCAAATACTAAAACCCATGTTTTACTCGGAGTTTTAATAAAAACCAAAATTTCTAAATGTTAGTAATAGTATTTAGGTTGATTTAATAATATTATTTATAAATTAATAATATTCAATAATAATCGAGCAACCGTAAAACTTTGATAATGGAGGTGAGTTTGATAATTTTGCCTGTTAGTTACAAAAGTAGCGACCTTAAAATGTAATTGCGAAATAAACAACCAATTCGACTTTTTTTCTTTTACATAATTATATTCTGCGTACATTTTTGAAAATAAAATGATTGTGAAGTACCGTAAACGGGGGTGAATATGAACAGCGGGGTGAAAATGAACACTAGTACTAGCTTAACTTAATGGTGAAGCAGCACATAAAATATAGCTAAAAATTGAAATTTTTTGACTCACTTGCCTTAAATATAATGTGTGGAAGATAATTTTTGGCTGCCCTCAAAAATTTTTTTTCCCGCCTTTTCTCTATCGCATATAAACAGTACAAGCTACGTGGTTCGTGTTATTAACCCACCTATCAAGGAGTATCTTAAGAACCGCTCATCTATACGTCATCAAAGTTACCTCAATTTAGGTTCAGGTAAATAATGTTCTAATAAAACAATAATTTAATGTATAACTTGTCTGTACCCGATTATAAGCTCATTTGAAAATGACATTTTTTTAACACGATTTTTTATTATACTTTGTTAATTTTTAGAACTATGCCTCGAAATTACAAGAGAAAGGAAAACAGTAGAGCTTATAAAACAAGTTATACAAAAAAAGACTTAGAAATAGCTTTAATTAATATCAAAAACCAAGGATTTAGCTTCAGGAAAGCTTCAAAAAAGTACAATATTCCATTAGGAACATTACACAAAAAAGTTAAGCTTGGGGATCAAGTTTCGAAAAAAAAAGGCGGACAAACCAGACTTGATAGTATAACAGAAAATTTATTTGTCCAAACAATTGTACATATGACTGATTGGAGGGTACCATTTGATTCTTTGGATATAAGACTTTTAGTCAAATCATATTGTGATAAAAGGAGTATAACTGACGCTCGATTCAAAAACAATATGCCTGGGGTAGATTGGGTTCAGTCTTTCATGAAGAGACATAACTTAACAAACAGGGTTGCTGATAATGTTAAGCACAGTAGAGCCATGGTCAATGAAGATACCCTTAACAAATATTTTTATAATTTGTATAAAGAGTTGAAGGATATACCTCCAGAAAATATCTATAACTATGATGAGACCAATATAACAGACAATGCAGGGTCCAAAGCTTTGGGCACCGTGTCGAAAAAAAAAAGAACATTCGAAGCAGTCGACCAGTTTAATGTTTTCTGTTTTTCTGTTGGAGAGTTTTTGCCGCCCATGGTAGTTTACAAAGCAAAGAACCTTTACCAGGGTTGGACTCAAGGTGGACCACCTGGAACTGTTTACAACATCACCCCTAACGGGTGGTTTGATGGTAGGACGTTTACCAGATGGTTTATGGAAATATATTTGCCTTTTGCTATTTCAAAAGCCGGAACAACACTATTGATTGGAGATAATCTTGGTTCACATTTTTCTCCTGAAGTTATTAAAGCCATGATTCAACATAACATCAAGTTTATAACAATGCCTCCAAATACGACTCATCTCTGCCAACCATTAGATGTTGCTGTTTTTAGAGGATTAAAGCAGTCGTGGAGAAGTATTCTTTTGAAGTGGAGATCAGAAAGTCGTATCAAAGGAGCTATCCCAAAAGAACATTTACCTACGCTTTTAAATAAACTAAATAATACTTTGCGACCAGTAGCTTTGGTTAGCGGATTTAAAGCAACGGGAATCTACCCTATGGACAGAACAGAGGTTATAAAACGTCTTCCAGGAAAATATAAAGACCCTGGTGGTAATGACACCGTTATGGTTCTTAACGAATCTGTTTTAGATATTCTAAAAAACAATCTAGGGTTAGGCACAAATTCAACTACAAAACGCAAACCTCGTGGTCCAAACGTGGTACCAGGTAAAAGAATTCATTCTTTAGTTGAGTCAATTCCATTAAGTTCAACTGAGCTAAAAAGCAACACAGATAATGATTGGTACTGTACTTTCTGTAACAAAAAATGGGTAGAGTTTAGCGACAACGTGTGGGTTCAATGCGACAAATGCAGTAAACCATATCATCTCCAGTGTTATGGCCTCATTTATGATAAAGATGATTATTATGAGCTCAATATTGAAAATATCTTATACTTTGTATGCAGCATGTGTGAGTCATTTGAAGAATTTGAGGATAGTGATATTTAATGTTCTGTTTTTATGTGGAACAGATTTGTAAATATTGTGATACATGTTAATATATTGAAAAAACTAGTTTTTAAACATAGTATGCTAATTTTTCACATAAACTTAGTTTAAATAAAAATATGTTCTATGTAAAATAAACTTCATGTTATCTGTTTTGATCTTTAACAGTTTTTTCCTCCATTGTAATAAGGTAATATAGCGATATACTAGAATATAGAAATAATATGTAGTGTTCAAAGTCACCCCAAATTGGCCGTTCATTTTCACCCCGTTTCGGAAATACGTATATGCTCGTATAAAACCAGAAAACTAAGGTATTTACTGCATAGTGTTGATCAGGCTTACGACTAATACAGGAAGCTGAGTAGTATAATGTTCTGTTACAGAAAAAATGGTTGCGATTAAGCCAACAGTTTTCTTTCATGATGCAAAAATGTTCAAAAAGCGTTCATATTCACCCCCGTTTACGGTAGTTTTTTATTTTGAAAATGATAAAGTTTTGAATGCGTATTTCTCACATTTACATTTACATCGTAAATAAAAGTTGGTTGCAGTAAGTGTAATATGCCATTTTTTAAAAAGCTTTACATTTAGTAGACAAAGCAAATCGATAAATATAAATTATATTTATCCATTTGCTTTGTCTACGAAATGTATAAAAAGCTTTACATTTAGTAGACAAAGCAAATGGATAAATATAAATTATATTTATCCATTTGCTTTGTCTACTAAATGTAAAGCTTTTTAAAAAATGGCATATTAAAATTTAATATGCCATTTTTTAAAAAGCTTTACAGATTAGTAGATTTAGTACATTTAGTAGTAATTTAATAATTAAATTATATTATAATTTAAATTACGCTCTGTTATTTGTAATTTCGAAGGTTATTTAGATTATTTTAAATTTTCTATATAAAGCTTTATATAGAGAATTTAACAATAAGGTTTATTTTGTTTTAAATTAAAAGCCATTAGTATTACTAAATAATATATAATAACATATATGGTAAGTTAATACATATCATAAATGGTAAGTTACTACATGTCTAAATCTAGAAAACTATGCAAGAATATATGCAATCCATATAGTCTATATTATAGAAATAAAAGTTCAACTAATCCTTTACTAGTAGTAAAGGGTTAGTTGAACAATTATTTCTATATATAGACTAAATGGATTATTTATAGTCTTTTTTAACTTTTTAAAAATGTTAACATCTTTGATAGGTATATTTATTTAGGTTAGTTACAGCTAAGTTTACATGGCTAGTTAATATGCTTTTATAAATTGCAACTTTTATTAATTTCCAAATTAAACATGTGGCATCCAATATCATAAACTAAGTTTATACTGGTGTGTTTATATTATTTTAGAATTTTTTGTTTTAGACACATAGCATTTGCTATCCCATTGTAAGTTAAAACTAGTTGTAAAATTAAAAAATTTATATTCGAAATTCTTTTTATTTTAACATTCATGTTTATTTAATTGAGTTACAACTAAGGTTATACATGAGTTATTTATACTATCTTAGAATTTGCTGCTTTAGAGGCACGGCATTTAGTGTCACATTGTAGGTTTAAATTGGTTGTAGAATTTATATTGTAACTTGCATATTTATTTAGTTGAGTTTAATCTAAGTTATATTTGATGTGTTTGTATTATTTTAAAATTTACTCTTTTAGACACGTGGCATGTGGTATCCCACTGTAAGTTTGAATTAGTAAATTTAAAAATTTTATATTTAATTTAATTAATTTTAAATTTAAAATATTTTAACTTGCATTTCTTTTGACGTTCATGTTTATATAATTAGATTACAACTAAGTTTGTGTATGGCTTGTTTATATTATTTCAGAATTTGCTATTTTAGACACTTGGTATAAGCTGTCATACTGTAAGTTTAAATTGGTTGTAAAATTTATATTGTAACTTGCATTTCTATTGGCGTGCATATTTATTTAGTTGAGTTTCAACTATTAATAATAATAATAATGATAAGTTTATATCTGGCGTGTTTATATTATTTTAGAATTTGCTGTTTTAGACACGTGACTTGTGATATCCCACTGTAAGTTTGAATTAGTAAATTTAAAAAAATTGTATTTTAACTTGCATTTCTTTTGGCATGCATATTTATTTAGTTTAGTTAAGACTAAGTTTATATCACACTTTTTTAACTATTATTCTACTATATTCTATATTCACTATTATTTTAGAATTAGCTATTTTAAACATGTGCCAAGTGGTATGACATTGTAAGTTTAAATAAGTTGTATAGTTTTTTTATATAGTTGCTTGCGTTTTTTTTGGTCTGCATATTTAATCTTGTTTTGATTTATCATAATTTTTAAAAGGTTAGAGACATTATTTTTTGCTCCTGATAGGTATTGATGTATGTGAAATGTATAGAGTCTTTCAGTTATCAGATGTCAAGGTAATCCTATACTTTTTTTTTAATTTACATTTTAATAAAGATATAATTTACTTATTCCATTTAACTTTATCTTTAGAAAACGATATCAGAGATAATTAAAATAACAAAATTTAGAATAGAAATTTATATATAATGAATTACCAAAAACATTTTCTATAGTGTTATCAGTAACATTTTATTTTGGTTTTATACTAGGTATGTTATTAAGTTTCCATATTTTCCTTATTTTATTTTATATTAATCTTTAAGGAGTTGACAGCATGGTGTCCGATTAAAAGTGCGAACCTGTGTACGCGTAACAGCAGTATTCAAAACCAAAACCTATTTAAACCAACCAAACCAAAACTAGCGACCAAAAACTAATATCTTGGCATTGGTTTATTTTAAACATCTATTATATATATGTTTGTGTTTTATATAAATGTACTAGCTTGAGTATAGTGTATTAAAAATATTTTTTTTAACTATTTTTATTGTAATTTAAGTATATTGGATTAAATATTATAAATATTTGATTAGTTTTCAATTTTTGGTTAAAACGTTTTAATGTAGAATATCGAAATAAAATAATACAATTAAATAAAAATGCAAACATTAACAAATATAAGGATTATTTGGTTATGAAGTCACAATTCTGGCGTCTCTAATTTTAGATTTTAGTGATTTTAACGAAATAATCACTAAAATAACTTATTAACACATTTATTTCATAGAAATAACAATCACAGAAAATGTGTTGCCTAGTGTAATAACTCCTTAATTTTAGCGGATTATTCGTTGCACTAACGAAATAAATCCGTAAATTCAACGGACTATTCCTAACGGAGTTCAATTCGTTAAAATTTTAATTCGTTAACTTAACGGATTTCCCGTTAGTGCAATAGCGACAGATTCAATTCGTTGTATTTAACGAATTTTTTCTTAGAGTGTGTCAGTAAAAATTATTCTCATCAGTTATATACTTTTCACTATATCAGATACAATTTGTAAATGTGAAAAATGTTAATAACATGTGTTGAGTGTATCAGATATGCTATCAACAGATAGAACACTATTATCTAAAATTTCAAACATTGGTTTTCTATATTATATATATATATATATATATATATATATATATATATATATATATATATATATATATATATATATATATATATATATATATATAGGGCCGGCGCGTGTAGGTGTCACGTGGGGGGGGGGGGGGTGCCATTAAAATTTTTGCCGACTAAAAAAAAAAAAAGTCCTCGTTTTCGAAAATTTTCCGACTGCCATGACGGCATTTGCCGACAGTCTAGATTACCGACTAACCTATTTCGAAAGGATCGACATTTGCCGACTAACTAGTCTAAAAGGGTCCAATTTGCCGACTAAAAATCATTGATGGGGGGGGGGGGGGAAGTATTATGCTCACCCGCCCGCACCCCCTATCGCGCCGGCCTTATATATATATATATATATATATATATATATATATATATATATATATATATATATATAAATATATATATATATATATATATATATATATATATATATATATATATATATATATATATATATATATATATATATATATATATATATATGTATGTGTGTATTCTTTTTTTAATTACATTTTGAATAAGCATTTCATTACAATACTTAAAATACAAATATATTATAATAATAAATCAAATATATAATAATAATATCAGAAGTATATTATTAAATCTTCGATTGTAAAAATAAGTTCTTTAAGCTTTCGTTTAAAAGAAATTAAAAAGAAAGCATTGATGAATAATTAAAAGAAAACTTTGATAAATAAAATCCTCAGTAAAAAATATTATAATATATTATATTGCTATATTTAGTATATTAATATTCATTTTTTTTTTTTTTTTGTGTTCAATTTGTAGATATATTCGATAACGAAATTGTTATCTAAATTGATAATTTTACGAGTAATATGTTTTAAATTTTCTTGTATATTGTGTTCTAATTTAGTAAAACTTAAAAAAAAAAGTGTTAATAACTCAAAAAAAAAAAGTATTTATGACATGTTAATGACACTTGTGAAGAGGATTAAATTAATAATCCATAAAGAATTAGTAGATTATTAAAGTCACCCCAACGAAGGGGTGAGGTTGATAACATTTTATACTTAAAAAAAAAACTACTATGACCAAAAAAGAAAAAAACGAATTCAATGAAATCTTATAAAGGAAAGGTATAATGTTATATTGGCAAAAAAAAAAAAGCAGAAAAAAATGTTTTGCGGTATATTATATTATACAGTTTGTAATAATATAAGTTATACGAGTTTGATTTGTGTTGCAATTACGAGTAGAGCTTGGATTATATGCATAATATTTAATTTGTTCGGTTTTAAAGATTTGTGAGTTGTCACTTATTTTATTTTACGTTATTTTATAGTTTGAATTCAGTTTGAATTTAGCCTTATAATATAACTAATTCTTTAAAAAGAATTAGTTATATTATTATGCTAATAATATTTAAAAAAACTTGTTTTTTAAATATTATTAGCATAAAATCATTTCCCTGTATTTCTTAAAATGCTTTTTTTATAAAAAAAAACTAAACCAATGCATGTTTCTAAATACAACTTAAAACTTTTCTTCTTGATACTATGATAATACTCTATTAATACTTTGCTTATTATGTCTCAATAAATAAAATATTAAAATATAAAACAGATCAACATGTTATTTGGGTATTCAAAACCACTCTCTGAGGTGCAACCCAACCGAAAAAAATACGCCTTTTAGACGTTTTTAAGCATCTAAAATATTAAGACTTTTGAAACGAAGAATATGAGCTCATATTTGTCGTTGAATATGAGCTCATATTCGTCGTCTCAAAGATGATTTATATTAGATGTCTTATATTTTTCTGAATTTAAAAGTATAAAATGTAATAACATTTTAGATTCTAAAAAGACGTGTTTGTGCTGGCTGAGAACTGCCAACAAGAGTAGATGTAATGAGGCATATGGATTATTTGTGAGAAAATATAAGCAACCTATACTGCATATCGTTTCTGAAATAATAATACAATTAAATATATATTATAATCTTACAGAAACTTCCTAAAAAAAACAACAAAAAGAATGAAGCAGCTTTAACAGCAACATACACAATGTTTCATCATTTGAGTTTTTAATTTTTTTGAGCCGAACAAAAAACTCTAACTACTGATAGAGAAAATGAAAAAACTTAGCCAAACTGATTGATTTAATTGCTTGCCAATGCAAAGATCTTAGGTAATGCTGTTATGCTAAAGTTCATATGTTACTAGCTTTGGAGCACATTTTCCTGGAATATAAAGGGGTGAACTTAAAATTGGCTATTGGATCAATGGAAAAAGAAGAAAAAACTACAGAGTATTCAAAGCCAACAGAGCTAAAACCTTAATGATGTTGTGCCACTAAACTCTATAATTTTTGCTACACCTATCACATCAGCTGTACTTAAGAATATTGTCATTATTTCACATAATGGCAATATTGCCATGATAAAGCGTGAGCGCTTTAAAGCTATGTTTAACTTGAAAGTTAGTGAGGTTCAAATAAAGGCGTTGTATTTTGATGGTAAAAATGACTGTACTTTCAATAAGAAGAGAACCATAGTGATGGGAAAGTGCATATCAGGAGCCTTGATGTGGATAAAAAAAACTCATTACGGATCAGCTTTGCCGTTTTGACATCTGTACTAAGCAGAGTTGTTAATCCTTGGCCTTGGCCTTGGCCTTGAAACTCTTGCCCTTAAAATTTTTTGGCCTTGAATTTTTTTTTCTAACTTTTTGTTTATTTTAGCAAGTTCATTATTTGAATTTAGAACAATAGAATTGTTTAAAAGTAATTACATGCTGTAACTCGTTAACGTTTAACGTTATATAATATTATTTGGTTACATACTGTTAGTTTGTTAAAAAAAAACAATGAAAACTTCTTGTGAAATTTTGAAGATGATAAAATGTATGAAGAATTTGTTTTTTCAATTTTTAAAATTCGAATGATTTTAAAATTTTCATTCAGAATAAAATATTCATTCAAAGAAAAGTTTTTATTTAAAAAGAATAAAAGTTCTATAAAAAGAAGTATATAAAGAATATAAATGTTATTATTAATCGTTGTGAAACGTTATAACTTTAAATTCCAGAGTTAATTTTTAAATATGCAATTATTACAAAAGATTATTTTAAATCAAGAGCAGTTTTAATTTGATCAGAAGAATAATTTAAGGTACCAAATATACCTTAAGGTACTTGAGAAATGAAATTTTGATCTTTATAGTTGTCATAGCTAGTATTTGCTTAAAATAGTGTAATGATTTTAATAATTCTTTTTCTATGTGTTTAAAAAGATTTAATTAATGGATATAGGTTTACCATCAATCTTCGAATTTGGATACAAAAGTTTTCTTATAAATGGAGATAAATGGTCAGCTAAGTGTAATACTTATCATGTTAATATTACAGAAACACTATTAATATTACAGCTCTCTTTATTTCGTTTAGGGGAAAGGAGGCCTATGATGGCGTAATGCCAATGATGGCATACTAGTCATATTTTCATAAATATTGGTTTTGGTGAAAAAGTGATTAGACCTACATGAATATACTGACTTAATATATTAGTTTTAGTAAAAATACGTCATTTGTAGACTAATATTGCTTTTACAATCAACAAAAATTGATTTTGGGATGTGCTGTTGTAGTTTTAATTCCTTCATATATTTAAGATTGTGATTTTGTTATTAACTTTGCAGATATGAAATTTTCATACTTTTTATATCCACGTTTTGTGGATTTAGTGGAATATTTATTTTGTTTTTATCTTTTAAACAAGGCAGACACAGCTTGTTTCAATGAAATCGATGACTTCTTCTCATGATGGCATACTGACGAGTTGGGTGTGTTGTAATATTGAAGAGTTACGAAAACCTTTTTTTTTTCATAAGAACAACTTATTTGTAAGTAAAACAAATGATGGTCCAAAAGTGTTTTTTTGGTCAAAAAAAATAGATAAAACGCAATATCTCTTATACGTATGCGCTAAACTCTACAATGCTGCTGTATGGCATGAAATGGTTAATTAGGATAATTCCGCGTAATTTCTGGCATTTTTGAGAGAAGACTATAAGTTTTAATGAAATCGGCAAGGTACCTTTGATCCCAACCACCCCCATCCTCCCCTATGCCATCATGGGAGCAGTGAATGCCTTTGATGGCATACTTATGCTTTTCTTTTTAAATAGGGATAACTTATAAAAAAACCAAACTGATGAAAACTCCGAGGGGTATTATTGTTCTACATGTAATAAGGAATACAGCCATATCAAAACTTTTATTATTGGTCTTCAGGATATTGAATAATGAAGTGTCAAAGCTAAGTATGCCATCATAGGCGCTTTTGCCCTATTTGAATTTAGCTCAATATTGTTTAATAGAACATAAACGTTTTATATTACATAACTATCTATATT